GGGCCTCCACAGTGCTGGAAGACCTCTTATTGCTTGCAGGGGGGAAAAGAGTCCAGAGCCATGGTTTCAGGGTGGTGTGGAGTTAGGTTAGAGTTTTAGGGAACGCTTCAGGTTTTACGGAGGGTCGATGCCTGAAGATTGTCTGCAAATAGAAAGAAAGCAAACAGCAAAAAGAAACCAAGCGACCAAGATGAAGATACCCTTCCAAGAATCTCGCAGCACCACCTGCCGAAGCTAGTAATCCCGGTCCCCACCCGAAAGGTGTGTTGCACTTGCCACATATTTGCATCGTTCCGGTTGGCAGGCGTTGTAGCATTCGCCGAACACAGCCAACGGCAAGCAGGCTGTCGCAATGTTGGTTCGAGCGTTTGTGAGTACGTAGTATGGCATGACAACACTCACGGTATTCTACGAACATATGGACAATGTCAGTCAATTAGCGACAAGACTTGTTAATTTTGGTCCCAATGTGCTCGGTCTAGCAATGTTGCAAATCCACAAACAAGCTGTTAACATAGAAGGTTTGTTGGATTGCAGATCTGGTCTGGCGGATTCCCAATTCACGCTCTGTCACGGTTGGGGCCAAAGAGTCACGACAACGTTCGATTCCTTCCGGTCTACACTGGTTTGGCCTCGTCCCTGATGAGGTATGGCAACGCAACGTAAGGAGGCGTTGGAAAAGATGCGGCTTGCTCGTGGGAGCCTCGTTTAATGTTGCATTGCCTTGTCGGCATGGCGACATGGCCATGATGCCAAAATTCACCAGCGATGAAGGCTCCGGCGTGTCGAGTTTGGACCAGTACGTTGTTCCGGACTGATTGCAATACTATTTTTGGGAATGGCCTTAGTTGCGAGCCGATGTGGCATGTGACCATGTGCAATACAAGCTTCGTTTTGTCGAGTCAGTGCAGGAACCCAAGAAAATCCTGCAAGAGGCAAGGTTCTGACTGTTGCACACAAATCGAAGACATCTATTGATCGGACAGTTGCAGTCGGATTGTTGTGGTTGTTGTTTTGCGCTGTCGGGCAGGCTGTTGTCCGGTGTGATGCTGCCCTTGTAATGCAGGTTTCGGAAGAGGAGTACCAGACCATCGTAACAGAACGAAAGAGCGACTGGGCTCGGGGCTCGGGTTTGTAAGTGTCATAGCATTTCGTTTTTCGGGGGCATTTGAGCTCACTGTTTCTACAAAGGCCGATACATCAAGCTACAAAGCAGGCGTGTGGCGTCCATGGTCATGTTGGTGCGGCAGATTAAGGTCGTCGGGCAAGATTCCGGCTACGTGGATGGTCCGCGTCCGTTTGCAAAAGATGCCACGTTAGGTCGTTAGGTCGCGGCTTCAACGTGCATGCATGTGTGCACCCAGGTGGAAAAGAGCTGTGGCAAGGACCAGCGGCAGAAATGGACTCGGCTTCGGAATGCTGCAGTAAAATGCTTCTTGTATGTGCTTTTCATGTCCTCCATGTTGAGGCAAAAGAGCGTGCTCGTGAGGATGAGCTGGAAAGGTAGGGAAAGACATGTTTTCGTCGGGGGAAACATCCCTAACAGAGGTGCAGGCTCAACATTCACCGGAAACATAAGAGAAGCTCGTGGCTCGGAGCCCATGCCAGGCGTCAGTTGAAGGAGTTGGGCATCGATCTTGGCAGCAGGAAGCCAAAGCAGAAGGCACGATTCGCACTGATGTAGGCTAAAGACGTGGGGCCGGTATTGCCTAGCTTAAGTGAGGATAGCCTCCATTCGCCGCAGTCTTGGCATAGCTCGGCAACCAGGAGACTCCAGTGCAACCACAAGCACCACCAGGTCGCAGTGTCCCCGTCTTAGTTCGATCATGTGCTCATGACGTGCTAAGCTCCAATCTTCCCTGTCTGCGACGTCACGTGACAAGTTTCTGGCAACTTTTGACCTTGCTTGTATGTACATGTTGGGCCTGTTAACTTTAGAAACTCATGTCAATTTCCGTTGTGTGTGTGTGTGTGTAAAAGCCGAGAGGTTGATGACATGAAACCACACGATTTCCAAGGTTCTCTTGGGAGCACTGCAAAAAGGTGTTGTGTCCCCAGGAACACTCTACAATGGCAGAACTGGTGTGAGTTGCTCGTGGTCAGGCCAGTGGACCCCCGGAAGCTCGACCACCTACTTCCAAGAAGGCAATGTGCCTTCACTTTTGGGCATGTTGTTGGATGTTCTTGGAGCTGGAATATCAGCGATGCAAGCAATGTGTGTTTGCGTGTTTGCGTCGCTGAGCAAGTCCATCTGAGTGAAGTGACAGGAGCAAGAGAGAGCGGTAGATGCTTTGCACGGACCTCGAAAGGGAGACACAGTTATGTGCAGTTTTGGACCAGCCAGTATTCCATAAGTGTGTAAGACTTGTTGCACCAGCGCAGTCACGGGGAGTAGGCGCTTGTGATGGTGACAGTGCGGTCCTCCCTTCTGAAGCTGTTGTGGCACAAAGTTAAAGAATCTACAATCTACGGCATGTCTTGTCAGCCATAATGTGCACAAAGTCTCAGCGAAAGTGGCAGAATCACCCCTGGAGAATTTCGGCCGGCGTGATTCCACGTCGAGTCAGGATGAGACTTGGACCGAGAGGAGAAGCTTTTTGCAAACGGATGTGCAGCTTCTCCAGCAGATAAATGTATCCCAGGACAGTTCTTCGTACGTCTGTCAAGAACACATTCCTGGAGGCAACAGTTGAACCCGCTCAAGACACCGGGCAGTCCGTGGCACTGGCAAGCAATGTGAGGCTTTCGAGTCTGAGCAGTCTCCTGCACAAACTACGGGCATGCAAAGATCGTGTTCTTGCAGTGATCTGCTGGATTCTCAGATTGAAGCTTTGTCGTGAGCTCAAGCAACTGGCGGACGCTGACAGGCCGGATGACGCCTTCAGATCCCAATCCGATGCAGATGCAGGACTAAAGCGACTACAGACACGTGAGACTGCAGTGCAAGCCGCAGCCGCAAAAGGACCGGAGGAGCCCCAGTCAGAGCTGGAGCCCAGACCCGGCGGACCGAAAGGTTACAGATTGGTGGTCGGCAGCCCGGAGCGTAGACCACGAAGCGTGCAGAGTTCATGCGCTTGAGGTCAAGAACACGTTTGTGGAGGTGCAGGACATTTCCTTCGTTTTGATGCAGACACGACGGACTTGCACGACAACTTGGTGATTTTGTTGCTGCAGGAAGACGAAACCCCCGCACAGTTGCGCAGAAGCTTGTCGGATGGCGACATGCAGTTCTGCAGTAGAGCATCTCGCCCCATGAATCCTTGTTTTCATGTAGTGTGTGCGTAGTAAGAACATGTAGGCTACGTTTCAGTAAGTAAGCCGTGCTGTTCGTTGCAGGCTACATGTGACGACGCAGAAGGCGAAGATTGCGAGGATCAACATGAGCGATGCTCGCATTGCTCGCCGGAGCCAGACCAGGCCTCTGGCCTGGGGTGGGCTGTGCACTTTGCATCACCACTGTTTCCCCAGAACTGCAACAGTAAAAGTTAATGCCTGGGAAGCTAGACATGGTCAGGCGTGGGAATCGCTTGGAAATTCGATGCGATAGCTCCGAAGCAGCACCTGCACAAACGGTCCAGTACAATCACCCGAGTCATGCATATCGATCACTATGTAAAAGAATCAGGATTTGTTTCTGGTTATTATTCCCTGCAGATTCTACATGCATGCACTCCGTAGGTCATCAGCGGTTCAACTGCTGCGTGACATAACAGCGATGTCTTGAAACGCTTGCTGACTGTTGCTTTGGCCAGCTGTGCTGTGATTGGTGCAAGCAGGTCCTGTGTTTGGAGGCAGCCGTTCCCAGTTGCGAGCGGAATGGAGCGTGTTACACTCAGACAGATTTTTGCAGGGTCAAGGCACGCCTTTGTCTTTTGCTGCGATCTCTGATTTTCATGTGGAGGTCACATCAGCTGCCCCAACAGCGGACGCAAATGGTCGCAGGCCTGCTACGACTGCGCAGGGTAGGTGCAAGACTTGCAGCTCTTTTCTTTGTCGTATCACGATCATGCTGTCTAGAGCCTCTGTGTCAGAGTAAGATGTGGTGCGATATGCGTACTTCTGTGATTTTTCATGACTTAAACTCATGACCAGTGTCCGGTGGGGCAGGCTCCACGGCTCCTCCGATGCTCAACCATGCAGCTTGTTCCACCGTTTCGGAACAAGGACGATTGGGTCATTTCCTCTCCTCGTAGTGTCATATCAACGCCGCG